GTGTCTATTCATTTAGGTGAGCCCCTTAAACCGCTATATAGCGCCGCAGGCAATTTTTTTTTTTTAATTTTCAAGGTCTCGCGTTTTTGGAGCACTTCAGAATCTAAATATATTATTTAAAAATATGTACTTTCACGAAAAGAAATTTCAAAATTTAGCTAGAATAATACAAAAAGTGCGGGACGAGGTGGGATTTTTATTTATTCCTTCAGCAGGTTTCCACATTACCCAGGAGGTACTGCTCATTTTTACCTATAGGTAGATAGGTAGATATATCTTACAATAATTATTTTTAGATAAATAAAGGCACAACCGCACAACAACAAAATAATAATGTACAAGCACAGTAGGTATATGAAACTCAACGATTTAACACTGAAGTATAAAAAACATGAATATTTTTATTTATATTGTTTGTGATTTTTACTGTGGTATTTGTGCGTTAATATAATAGTATATTAAAATAAAAATGATCTTTTATAATTATTTGAATTATTTTTACACGAATTCACAACACAATAATGTATTTTATCTATTTTGGTTTCATAATGACTTCATTATAACACTGCTTTTGGTTCTTTAATGAGGTACTTTATTCCACCCAAAATTTTGATTTTATAAGTTGGCTACTGGTAAAATACAATTTTGAATACCTATAGGTTATAATATTTTTATGATTTGTTTTCTAGTACTTACGAGACTTCGTGCAATAAATTTTGTTTAACACCAAAGAAAATCCTTTTTTCTTCTTTAACAGCCGCTTATTGTAAATACTTATTGTAAATTAACGACGCCATAGCGAAAGAATGTGATAATGTTTGAAAGGTTAATGACCTTTCAAACTTCAAACTAAGATACCAACTATGTAAAGTAAAATTCGACCAAATTAAATATAAGGTAGAAAATTAATTTGTTTTATGAAATGTTTGCAAAATAGATAAAATAGCATAAAGAACTCATGTCATAAGACCTTTTGTCGCACTTGTCCATTATAAAACTCGCTCCTTCGTCGCTCGTTTTATAAATTGTCCGCGTGCGACAAAATGACGTCTTATGACATTAGTTCTTTAATATACTATTACGCTTGCATTTTTATCACAACTTTCCATTTTAACGCTAAGGCAAAGACTAAACAGAAATAAGATACTATAAACACGCATAGATCTAATTAATAAGCCCAACTTTGTGGGCCTCAATGTCTACAAAAATTCGCGTTGGGTTACTGTAATCTTTAGGTTAAATTTTATGTAACCTATAGTTTTCGTTAACACTGGGTTTATAAAAAAGTTTTATACCGTTTGCGGTACCTGTTTTATAAAACTATTTTTTATTAATAAATTATGTGCTAAAAAACAAAAATCTTTAGTAATTAAAAAAAATTTAAGAAATATATCCAAACCTTAATGAATTCTTAAAAAAATTCTAAAAAAAATATGTATTTTTTGGTGTTTTGATGTCTCTTGCCGTTTTTTGAAGTATTGTGTACACATATGTAGATATATTTACAATAAAAATGTCTTTGCACTTTAAGTCGTATTAAGTTAATCTTAGATATAAATTATATGTACGAGTATATTATATACCGTAATATTTTTGCCATACTTGACTTGTCGATATATTCACGTGGTTTAAACAAGTCCCTTAATGTATAAGATGACAATAAGAACAATAAGAAGTTATATAGTGGTTTACATAATATTCTTGTTACCTCTAGTTATAAAACTTAGGTTTTATAGTGTAACCAAACATTAGTAACGATAACCTTCATAAACTCCCAAAATTGAGAAATTTGGGTTTTATAATTTGGGTAATATAACATTTATGGCAAACACTATACAAACATGTTTATTGGGTTATTAATTATTATTCATTATTATTTTTTGGCTATATTCATTATTTACCATTTAAATAAAATAAAATGACGTTATTGTTAATAATTTACCACCTAAGTTTCAAAAAAATATTTTTTATCTTTATGAAAATTATTTTTAAAAATAATTAAATAATAAATAATTTTTTTTTAAATTCTGTTCTTTTGTAGCCAAAACTTTTTAGGAACGATTTAAAAAACAATTCCTAGAAATATACCTTTGTTTTTTTAACTTTTAGGCACCATATGCTCTTGAAATTTAATCCACACATTTAATAAACATTCTCAATTTCCTTCGAACCCACCATCTGCAGATGTTCTTAGGTAATAATAATTGTTGCAAAATGATACGGTCTCTCGACTTAACTCATGATCCGGTCTTTGTTGCCCCAGTAATGGATTTTAAAGATTTCGTACTTACCGGGAATCTATGTATAGTCTATAGACTTTATTTATTATACTACTTGTATGAAAAAGGTTCCACATTGTTATTTTAATCCCTTTAAAGATGCCATTCTGACCTGGCTACCGAACTCGCATCGTAGAGTGCGGCCCCCTCTGGCTTTAATCGCGATGTTGCCAGACTGCGCGGCCTCTTCCCAGATGCGGGGAATTGTTTTTAAAACGCTGTTGAGCCGGAAATGGGGTTACAATAACAGGATTTAGTTTAAAAAGGGTTTTAATACGCAGGAAGTGTATTTGTAGTTAATGTATTTTTGATTAGGAGGATTAAAAGTTAAGTTTGTTTTCTTAACAGAATTTTAAAAGTTTTTATTAAGAATTACTTAGAGTCGAGTTTATTGGTTTTGGTTTCTTGAGTGGTGTTATTGAATTGTATGTTATTTGAATTATAAATCTGATTCTATTAATAGTTATTTATCCATAAATAGTAAAGAAATTATTAAAAATAGTTTTATTTTATTTTAGGAGGGATTTTCGTATTCAATTTTGTACCTGGTTTTAATGGTTTTATAATTTTTATTGTCTACAGGCATGTTTACATCTATTGTCTATCTTTATTTATAAATAGATATATTTTAAGAAGGTTAACCGGATATTATTCTTTTTAAAAACATCCTCTTATCGATTTTTCATATTTATTAGGTACTTAATTTTTTTTCTAAAAGTACCGTAAAACGAAATGAATAAAAACTAAGTATACACGGTGTCCAAATATACAGGGTGTTTCAAAATATATGCGCAGGACTTCAGGATGTGATAGCTCATCCAAAAAGATGTAAAAAGTCGCTATTAACTTAGCCTCTAAAATGCACTGTTTTCGAGATTTGGTGAGTTGAAATTTTAGAAAAAAATCTTTTTTTTCGAATATCTCCGGAACCGTTTATCGTACAAAAAACAGCTTTTGTAAGCATTTTCTACTCATAATAAGCTATGTTTTGTGCCAGAAAAATTGGTGGAGATTTTGAAGGGGTAGCGGGTGTTTTTCTCCTCAACTTCTACGCCCCTGAAAAAAGTACGGTTTTGAGAGGCCCATTCGAACCGTCAATGTTTTCTACACAAAAAAGGTACTCTTGGTCATAAGCTCTAAAGTTGACAGTTTTCGAGAAAAATCAACTTTTATGTTTAAAAACATGATCAGTTTTTTTAAATTTTTTTTTTACTAATTAAACAAAATTTATTTTAACGTTAGAACAAGTAACAAAATCAAACGATAATTGCAAAATTAAAAAAAAATAAAGATCTATAGTTTTAATGAGTAAATTACAAAAATATAACTGATTATTTCCCTCATTATAGGTAATATGAACCAATCAAAAGCCTTGAATTTTCGAATAAATTTCGTTTAAATAAGCGATTAAATCACTAGAACTATTTAACAGCGATTAAATTTTAGCCTCCATATTGGATTTTATTTACGATATTATGGTGTTATTTACAAGTTTTAACAAACATTTTTTAAAAAACAATAAAAAAATAAGTTATCTAGTTTACGAAATATCAATTATTACTTATTACATACCTTAAATTAATGGAATTTTCTTTAAAAAAATATTTATAAATTTTGACACATACGTCAGATTTTATGAATTGTCAAATAGTTTCCTTTAATTCGAGAAATAATCTAGACGTACCTATATCACTCAACCTATAAATGTAATCTGTCAAACTATGCTCAGTAAGTTTTTTATTTGATTTTTCTTTTTGGAAAATAGTTTCATGCAAAATAATTAAAAATAAATTATTTTGCATTCAACATTTTCCAAGAAAAACCAAACAAAAAACTACTGAGCCTATGTAGTTTAACCGATTAAATTCATAGTTCTCGTGATATAATATATGAAAATTTATAAAATAAAACCTAATTGTTACGTATGACAGTATTTTATACAATAATATTACTTCTGGGCTTTCAGCGTTTTTTTATACATTTATTTTTGTAAAAGTCTACTAATTTAAAACCAACTTTCTATTAAAATGCTTCAAACAAAAATGTATTAAATAAAAAACACTACACAACAGTTCATACAAAATTCTCAAAAAATTGTATTTTTCTGACGAAACCTAACCTGTTAATAAAATTAGTTGTGTACCAGATTACCACCTTATAAAATTTGGTTTTATTGTGCAAAAAATCGTTAACCATACATTATTTCTTTTTTATATTATTTATTGTAAATATCCTGTGTGATTATATGGGTTTTGTACTAGTTAGTTTAACAGGTATTTTTTCCACTTTCTTATGACAATTAAAAAAAAATACATTTCGCCGATATCTCCTAAAAGCTCCCGACGCACGTGTTACCCGTCCCGCGGCGCGCGGCGATCCGGCAACAGCGCACCGTTTCAGCGGAGCCAGAGAAGGAGGGAGAAAGCGCGCGACGAAGACAGCGAGGGCCGTGGACGAGCTTTCGCCTGCAGCCGCTTCAGTTACTAGACGTCAACGGCGGCGTCAACATCGGCTGCGCGCGCGCAAAAGATTTGTCGATTCGGAAAGCACACAGTTACAGCACTCTATGCTCCCGAGAATGTTGATGGTGCCGAGGCATCAGCGTATGCGACTTGATTTCCCGATTTTCGGGGCAATGTGACGGATTTTGTGTCGACAGTGTTAAGTTTTGTGTTCGGAGGGGTGAAAATTTTTATGTTTGAGTGATTGTTTGCCCGAAATATGGAAAATATCTATCATGAGACAGAAGATGGATTTGTTTATCACCTCGCTACCATGGGATACGACAATAATTCCGGTACCTACCCACTTGATTTTCTTGCAAAAATAAACATGTTTATTTTTATTTATGAATGAAAAGAGGAAACGCAGAATCAAAAATAAACATTATAAATATATTTTTTTATGAAATTAAACTTCAACTTTAACACTTGTTTGTGGAATATAACTTTTTCGTTTTTTTGACCACCTATATAGGTATGGCAAACTATAATAAAATAGGTAAATAATTAAAAAAATCACCCAAAAATTAAACAAAGTAGAAAATCGTGAATGACACAAATACTCTCTAAAAATGACTTGGTCAAAAATGACTAGTTACTGCAGTTATTAGTGGATGCTTTTTTACTTATAGGAACCATGTTAACCATATCCCCAACATTTAATAGCCAATTCTTATGTAAAATTGTCCCCTGAATCTGAAAATACCGTCAAAAGTTATGAAAGTAGAGCAGTTTTTGAGATTCGTCAATTCCATATTATTTGGAAAATTGACCATATCTCAAAAACGGTTCTACTTTTCTAACTTTTGACGAAATTTTAGGATTCAAGGGACAATTTTACATAGAAATTGCTAAATGTTTTCGCTATGGCAATTAATTTTTAGAGTAGATTGATAAAAAACAATAAATTTAGAAATAAAATACTTAAAAGCAAAAACATATTTGTAGGTATCTAAAAATTGTTAATTTAAAGTCGAAACGAAACAAACTTTTTCGATTAATACAAACTTAAGACTCGCTACTGTTAATAAAACAACAATTAGTTAAAATTAAAACTACAAACTCGTCTCTCTTTGCTCACTTCGTTCTATTGCAATTGCTACGTTCAACGAAAATGTTGCCTATTAATTCGCACCGAAGCCTTCTCTTCCAATTAAGAAAGAATAATTATTAAGCGAGCTCTGGAAAAGATAAACGAGGCTGTCGAGGCCCGGCCCTCTAAGATTTTAGATTGGGAATTATTATTTTAAGGCTCTCGATGAATTTATGTCAAATAAATTTTAAAGAAACACCCTATATTAATTTTTAAGCACGTGTTTGTCTCACTTGAGTATAAAGAGGAAAAAATGAATTTCTGAAGACCATGCGTTTTTTAATAGGTCGTTATCTGACACAGGAATCTGCCCCTGACGTCATTTTTTCGTAATTTATTATCTGAGAGTGGTTTATCTGGCATCTCCCTGAAAACATTTTGACTACGGCCAGGAATAAATTACGTTTTATTTTTATAATTAAAAATTCTATTCCCATGCCTGAACTAAGAGTATAATTGTCATGTCAAACACAATAATGTAGATAACATTCTTTTTGTTGAAAATGCTCCATCATGCACCATTTTTGGAATGGAATAATTGAAATTTAAACTTTTCTTGAACTAACGAAAATAATGAAGAAATATAAACAATAGCAACAATAATTAATAGTACTTATAATTTGCTAACATTTTATTTTAGAATGCAGCTTTTGTTTGGAAAAAGTTAATTGAAATCTTGTTTATTTAACTTTAATTTAACATTTTATTGCAGCGCTCTCTATTGAAAAAAAAAATGATAACAATTTTTACTGCCTAACCATTACTTTATCGCCCCGTTAATTTAACTTTATCATAGTGTAGGAAGAAAAATATGTTTTTAAATATCTTCAACCAATAATTTAATTATGTTAATCTATCCAAAATAAATTGTATATTTATTGCCTAATTATGTGAAAGGCCAATATTTAGAAAATAATCTAAATTGTCAAAACAAAAATATCTACCGACAGTCAACTTATTTATTATGGACCAAATAAAGCGATAGCCTTTTAAATTGACCTGTCCCATTAAATAAACGACCTAAAAACACTTTAGTGCCTTATTAATCATTCTCGTAAACAAAAAATTTAAAAAAAATTACAGTGTTGCCAAATTTCGTGATATTATCCACATGTGTGGTTTTCTTTTTTCCTTGTTCCGTTTGTTTTATTTTGCTTTACTTGACATGTGTGCTAATGGATTATAATGTTTTTATTGGTCTATTTATAACATTGTGTGGTAGCACTTGCTTAATGTATATTTATTACGCAATTATTGTGGTATTGATATAAATAGGAAAGCATATTTTACAATTGTTTTATTTTTATTAAGTACCTAGGTGGGCCGATATAAATAAATTGTGTTTCACTGGTAAAAAAAGTAAACTTTAAAAAGCTTAAAAAAGTTCAATTCTATTACACAGGTTATAGTAATAAAAAATCAAAGAATGAAGTTATTTTAATACCTATTTTAATGTATGAATAATTGTTATGTTTAATTAAAATTATAACGGGCAATGTTAATGTTGAAAATTACGTGTAAAATATTTTTTGGGATGGTTACTTTATTTTCTTATAGTTGTAGCTTTATACAAATAATTTAAATATTTTTTAAGATAATAATAATTATTTGTCGTAGAAAAGAATAGAATGAAACTCGTTTATAAACTTTTCTAGGCACAATATTCAAAACTATTGCATCTACATTTTTATTATACCTAATTACAATAATATTGCACATTTTATAAATATTTAAGACAAAATAAACCATTTGTTCTTTCTTTCTAGGTTGTCTATTGGACGGTGTGCCCCGTCCCCCTGATGTGCCCCCTCGCAACCCCACAATGAGTCGTTTGAACGGCAGATTGGCCTCTGCGCCCCCTGCTGACCTTTCGCAGGACTTCGAGCCGTCCTGCCTGGTCAGAACGCCCTCAGGAAATGTCTATATTCCTAGCGGAACGCTAAGTAAGTTTATCTGCCAATAAATCGTAAATAATAATCTTTATCTCCACGCGGTTTATTTTATTTAAACTTTATTGTTGTCAACATTCGATAAAGAAATACCTTGTTATGGCCTAGGCCGATAAAAAATTTTATGAGGCAAGTAATTAGTTCGATTTTTTCTCGCTAGGGGTATTGTTTTGACAAATTAATCCTTTTCTAAGAAATTAACGTACTAAACTGGTTTAATTTATTTATAATAAGCACTAATTTGTTTGTTTTACTGTTAATGTTTAATATTTTTCATTAAATTATTGTAAAATTAAATATGAATAATAAAACAAAGTGAGGTTAGGCAACCAAGAAAACGCACGATTCTTTTTCTACGATTTAAATTATCTTTAAGTTTTAATTTGCTTAAGTTTTCAGTGAAATTAAATGTTAAACACAGCTTAAACATTCCAAACTATCTATTTTTTAAATAAAAATCCAAACAAATTGAAATTAGATACCTACCTATTTATTAAACAATTAATTGAATTCAATGTAATAGCAAAAATCCATTTCTACTTAAATCATGTTGCCTTAACTTTTATATAAAATGTTACATATTACATATAAAAATTATAATAACTTTTGCTGTTTAGTTTGGTCTTTAAAACAGATGTTATGAAAATTCTTGGAACCAAAGATGATCACATCCCTTAAACTTTATGGTTTGAAAACATGTGGTTTCATCTGGTTTTGTGTAAACATCGGTAATCTCCGTGTGCATAGTGTAGACTGGGTTTTTGTTTTGGTTTTATTGCCTGGGCTTGGGCATACGTATAGGGGTTTCATTATTTATCTCTTTGGATGCAGACAATCTCAAGTGTCGAGAAAGATTTTCAAAAGGAAAGAGCACAAAGTGCCCACTTAACGGTTTTAACATAGCCTAAGAGTCTCTCCGGGGCCTGTCTGATAAAATGAATTCATTTTTCATAATTATATCATTAAAATATAACAGCACAAATAACTTTTTACTTCTTATGATTTTTATAATTGTTTACTTTGTTTTTTTTAATGCGTTGCTTTTTTATGTTTTATGGTTTAGTGCAGAACTCGGTGCAGAAGTTCCGCATACTTTTTTGTTCATCTGGTTTCGCATTTTTATATTAAGTAATAGTGTTACAATGGATTCTGCTTCCGCAATTGCGGAAGTTTTGCACACTTTTTCACATCTACTTCTGCATCTGATTCCGCACTAAATTAGTGTTTATTAAACATAACCTGATGTACTAAATTTTAAATAGTTATGTCATGAAAAAGAATACAAAGAATTTTTTTCGCAAAAATTTAATATTGAAATCTGTTTCCAATTCTGCTTGTTATGACAAGTTCGGTTATTTCAAGTTTAAACTCAGAATAAATAAACCAAATATTTAACAATATTACTTAAATGAATTGACCAGGCATAACATTAATTTAGCAGTGTTGAAAAAGTCATTTTTGATCAATGTAAATTGTCACCTTGTAAAGAGCGATAAAACCCGTTATTTGTCGTACTTTTATGCTTTTTTAAATCTTCATTAAAAGTCATAAAAGCCGTTCGTGCATTGTTCCATTGTCTGTTTTAAAGTTTTAGTGTAATTTCTTACGTGAAGGAATTGTTTTAAGCTTATAAGCGACGTCTAGAGTCACTACTAATAAATAAGGCTTTGTTTTCGCCCACTGGATGAAAGAAACGTGCCCAGCAAGCCATGCCTCGGACCACCCTCGATTCCAAAGCCCCCTCCGCACTCTTTTTCCTCTCCACCTACTGTGTATCTATCCGTCCATCTATCCACTGTAGGTAGTTGATGGCCATCGCGCAATAATATCCCTTTAATCAAATTTTTGAGCTCTACTTTAATTATCAGTGCAGCGAAATATTTTGTTGATGAAATTTATTTACATACCCGACCGTGTCAAAGAACCGAGCTGCTGCTCAGCTTGTACGGGCTTTTTTTCGTGCGGCGGAATTTTATTAATTTCGTAAAATGTTTTCAACAACTTTCCGCCAGCCGGTGCTCGAATTCTGTTACGGCACACGGGATAGTTCTAATTGGAAGACTTCCTGTACAAAGATAAAATCATTTTTTTAAACTCAAGTCAGCCGCAGTTTTTTTTTCGGTACCGACCCAATTCGACCTATTCGTTAGACGCTTTAAGAGAGCTTTCATAAACAAAACAGTCAAACAAGAAAAAGAGAATTCCCACAGGACAGCAAACGTAATTATTCGTATAAATCGGTACAAATAGCCGTGATACGCAATATCCGTTAACATAAACAAAAAGTCAAGTGCAGTCACCTAGTCATCAACAATAAACATGCCAACACACCACTATTTCAATAAGTCTTTACTGAAATAAAGCTAAGGCTTACTTTCCTTTACAGATAATTTTTGCATAATTCATTATAAACAAAAAAACTATTGTTAACTATCCGTAGTCACATTACCAACCACCGAAAACTATCTATAGATAGTTATTGATAGATATATTGATGGTTCTCGACTAGACTGAAGAAAAGGTTTCGCACAGTGGGGCAAACAATTGCGGACTCCAGTGCACTTATACTCAAGTGAGCCGCAGTTTTTTCCACTCGTCCGACAATTTGTTGGTTGTATTCACTTGTAAACGTTGTTTTAAAAATGCGATCGGCGTCTTGCTCAGTGTACTACTCTTATGGCCGGTTTAAAAAAAATATTCCAATCATTCTCTTATTCGTTCATTGTTCAGGCGTTCCGCGTCCTCGCAAACAATAGGAAAAAATCCACGCGTATTAATAATAAAATTTCGATTATGCTTCAAGACCGAATAAGGCGGAACAAATAGACATGACAACGCGATATAATAGAACCTGTTAATGAAAAATAATAAAAAAAGTTAATTCGAAATTTTACCGATATGCATATACAATACACAACAATAGGCTATTATAATTATTGCCATTATAACTTTAATGGTGTTCCAAGCCCAAAAAGGTAGGGTCTAATATTAAAAGCCAAACGAATATTGTTAACATTATGTTTTAAGTTATTTCGTGTAATTGAAAACGGACAAAATTCAAAAAAATTGTCCTTACATACATAAATTTACAAAAGTGACAAATTCAAAAAATATAGGGAAACTGAAAAAGATATCGATTTGAAATTTTAAAAGTGTTTATAATCAATTTAAGTCTATTTTTCTAAAATATTTTTGTAAAAAAAACATAAAATGTGGAAAATACCTGTAAAAAACCTGACAAAGAGCAAATAAAAACTTATGTTTTTTGCGAACAAAATGCTAATAAGTAGCATTAAATCATGAAGATGAACTGTAATTTTTGTTGGACTTTCTGTCTCGAGATTTAATCAAATTACGTAAATCATAGTGGATCCACCTATTATAGACTTGTGTGGCTATGGATTTGCGGTTTTATCAAATATTTATCAACGTATTTCGGTTAGAGCCGCAATCCCTCGGGAATCCGTTCAACAGATACGGACGTTATACCTACGCCGGATCTCCAGCTTTCAATATTCATGCGCGTAATATTTCAAGAAACCAAAACAACAAATTAAACTGTCATGGGAACGAAGTGGAGAAACAAAAAACACGTTCCTATGGTATACTAACGATAAGGAAGAAGTGTAGCCTTTTATGAGGCTAATCGTTAACTTCATCTTATAGTTAGAAAAGTGTCGTCTTCTCAGCGACCAGTTCGCTTATAAGCTGCTCCAGATTGGACTCGGGCTCTTAATGCATTCAATAGATAGTTATCGCCTCCACCTACGTAGGTATTAGAAATATTGTTGAAGTTTTAATCATAATAATTATAATGGACTATTGTGTTGTTTTGGTATGCCATCGATTGGGTTTGACAAAACATCCCACACAAAAAATCATTTTGTAAGAATTAGTTTTTGCTTTATTTGGATAAGCAGCTGTCAAACGAGTCTTTAAATATTCTTTAATTTTTTTCTTCATAAAAAATATATTTTATTTAATATTTATATAATACTGCCCTGCTAATTACTTAATATTGCACACGTGGGGATTTTGGATAGGTAGGTATATTTGTTTTTGTAGGAATTAATAAAATAATGTGTTTGGTTTTAAACAATTTTAATAACATGCTACATAATATTATTATGTATAAACAGCAATAATATATAGATAGAGCTGTATTATACTTTAAATCAAAACAAATATACAAAAGGTATTATAATATAATACTAATTATATTAACCAACTAAATAAATAGTACTTAATTTTAAAAATACTCACATTTTTGTAAAAAAACATGTAAATATACACTCATAGGCAAAATAATCGATCCACACAAATTTTCGATGAATTTTAATCGCAAATAACTTTTTTATTTGATTTAGGATTTAAATAAATATTAAAAAATATTGTAGATACATTAATGGAGAATCGCTCACATTTTAAAAATTACTAAAAAATACACGTACGTTTATAATATACACACTCTTAGAAAAGACCTGGTATTTGTAACTAACTTATTATCGTTGGGGTAAAACTGTTGCAGAAAATAATTTTTTTTGTTTTTTGTAATCAGTACCTTTATAAGTGTAACTGCTTGCATCATTACCTGAAAAGATTTAGTTTTGTTGTTGAGTATTATTTACTGCAAAAAGGCGATTAAGTTATTTTAACTGAAACATTGTGTTGGCTAGAAGTATTGACAACATTATCTCAAAAAAATCATTTCGGCGGTAAAATGTTTTTGTTGGACCAAATTTTTTAAGTAACATTCTCAACTGACTGAAATTAGTCCGTGAAACTAACGGTTCGGTTGTATAAACTATGCGTCACTTTTCACACAGCTAAGACACCAGCGGTGTGACACAAAGTGTCAGTTGGGGATGTTGTCTCTGTAGGTTAATGCAACTGCAAACTTTGTGCATTTCGCGCGCGATTTGTCCAGCCCGGCGCGTGGTTTACTTTTAACCTGTAAACAAACGGTGTTGCACGGCGTCCAGACTTCGGTGGTG